AATGGCTCAATCGTTTCAAAGTTTGTGATCATGTTGACGTCAGCGTTATCGTTCCAACGTGCCATGAGAATTTTCGTTCGAAGTTTTCTCCGTTGGCCAACTGACTTAAAATCATTCAAAATGCATATTATGAATTCAAACGATTATGAAATGTGATAAAACACGTCTAAAACAACGATATTGATGGTAAAAATTAATTCTATGAATGTATTTTCATTCTTTCTTGAGGATTAAAAAAATTCAAAATTTCACCTACATTTGATTACATTAGGGACCTACATTTGATTACATTAGCACATTTTTGCTCATTCTGGCTAAGTGCGAAAAAAAATTATCGATCTAGAAAGTGGAAACTTCTTTTTTCGACTATATTATTCATATCTGAAAGTTTGAATCATTTTGAAAACAAAATAAGGATCGCGGTCCAAAATGGGTCAAAGTCGTTTTACCACACTGCACCTCTACCGATCGAACCAGATCGTCTTTACCAGGATATACTTGCGTAATTTTTCCATAAGCCCAACGGCTTGGTGGTAAGTTGTCTTCTGAGATCAATACAATTTGCCCAATCATAGCGTTTGATTTCTCTTTATGCCATTTTGGGCGAGCTTGGAACTGGTTCCATTCCTTTGACCATGTTTTCCAGAAACTACAATACAATTGGTGCAAATATTGGTATTGATCCAATCTGGTAATTGGAATATGTGAAAGATCTGGTCGTGGCAATGTGTTGATGGGTTGAAAGTTGAAAAAATGACTTGGAGTCAACACTTCAACGTCGTCGCTTTCATTTGTAATTGCCCATAAAGGACGCGAGTTGAGACATGCCTCAATCTGCTTTAACACATGATCAAACTGGCGACCATTCAATTTTGTGTCCTTGAGGACTCGACGGAGATGGTATTTAACGGAACCAACCGCGCGCTCCCAAATACCAGCCATGTGACTAGCGCGAGCTGGAATTGTTTTGAATTGAATATTTTTTATGGCGAACATTTTAGTTAAGGCGTTGTTTTGCGTCAACAATTGTTGAAACAATGTGGTGATCTCCTTGTTTCCACCAATGAAATTAGTACCGTTGTCAGTATAGAGCATGATTGGAACGCCACGACGAGCTATGAAATTTTCAAAAGCCATCACAAATTCGGCTGTAGTGAGGTCAGTTACCAATTCAAGATGCAAAGCTTTCGTGGTTAAACAGATGAACAACGCAATGTAACCCTTCGAGGTTGGTGAATTTCGACGACTTGATGTTTTAATGTTGAAAGGTCCAGCATAATCACAACCGACATAAGCGAAAGGCTTGGCTTGTTCGGTGCGAAACGATGGTAAATCCGCCATTTTTTGTTTCATCAATTGTTTACGATAACGAAAACAGAGCACGCATTTGTGAATTATCTTTTTCACCTCATTACGACCACGACGGGAGGCTGCAACATTGACTTCTTTCCATACTAATTTGACGTTTGTCAGTGGTGAACGATTTTACAGCGCCATCTGCACATATTTGACTATTCAAAGTGAACTAGCTGTCATCAGTATCGATGAGTTATCGATGCTCAATTTTGGGTCATAAACGGCACATTTGAAATTTTCAATGTACCGTTTACGACCCAAAATAAATTGAGCATCGATGACTCAACGATACTGATGACAGCTAGTTCACATTGAATAGTCAAATATGTGCAGATGGCGCTTTTTGTGTTTGAAGCGCAACGTTGCAGCTGCCCGGACCACGAATAATCCAAAATTGCTCTCGCAATTTACGCAATGTAAGTTGCACTCCACCGTGCAAAACTTCTTCGTGAGCATGTCGCATCAACAAAGTAGTGAACAAATGGTGAGCTGGCAAGAAGATTGCTGTTCGTTGTTCTCTTAGATCTTCATTTCCAATTCGACCGTGCATTCGTAAAACGCCAAATTCATCAATAAACGGACAAAGTTGACGCATGGCTGGTGAACCTGCTTGATTCTGGTGACGAATGTTGTGGATATCTTTGGAGAAAACTTCAAGTTGAACAATCAACACCCATTTTCGAACCGCCAAGTTCATTTCGTGAGCTTTGGTTGGTGAACACCGATTCTTGACGCGATTTCGCCAGCGCATTGCATACACAGTAAACCTAAGCAGGCGTGTATAACTTGAAAAGTAATTGAGCACATAATTTTCGACCACTTGCGTAACATGAATGGCCGGAACAAGTTTTTTGCGTTCAGGAATTTCATCATCCGAAATAGTTATGTCACAATTGGGAGTTAACGATGAATCAACCAGAAAATTGGGGCCATGCTACCAAAGCTTAGCAGAGGCAAGCTCCTGAACCAATGCTCCCCGCGATGCGATATCAGCGGGATTCAATTTGGTTGGTACATGATGCCAATTGTTAGCAGGTAATGCTTGTTGAATTTGGCTGACACGATTGGCTACAAAAGTAGACCAACGACTTGGGCATGCAGCGATCCAAGCCAACGCAACGGTGGAATCACACCAAGCAAACGTTCTGACCTCAGTCAGAGACAATGATTTGACACATCGGGACAGCAGTTTGCTCAATAACACAGCGCCACACAATTCTAGTCGTGGAATTGATACTGTTTTGATGGGCGCGAGCTTGGTTTTTGACGCTAGAAGATTGCTAACACAATGCTCATCTCTATATTGGATTTTAATATAGACGACAGCAGCGTAAGCGTGCGATGATGCGTCACAAAACCCATGGATTTCGATGCATATTACGTCAGTTGATAACCCAATCCAACGAGGAACTTGGATGGGAATCGGTAAACATAACTCGAGATAAATTTGTTGCCATTTTACAACAATGTGCTGTGGTATAGGCGTGTCCCAATCGAATGATTTTGGAAGCTTCCAAATATCTTGCATGAGCATTTTGGCCTTGGCCACGCAAGGTGAAAGCCAACCCAACGGATCGTAAAGCTTGGCGATTTCAGACAGCACTGAACGTTTGGTCCACTTTTCAGCTTGCTTGGGCGTGGATGATTTGAATTGAAACTTGTCTGTGCTTGGCTGCCATGCGATGCCAAGTGTTTTGAACGTGGTTTCGAAGTCAACGATTCTTCTTTATCGCATTTAGGCAAGCCATCCAAAATGCGTTCATCATTCGCTTTCCATTTGCGAAGGTTGAAACCATATTTGGCAAGTTCTTCGGAGAGACGAACGCGCAAATGCACAGCACCAACAACTGAATCCGTCGTACCAAGATAATCATCAACGTAGAATTGCCGACAAATTGCATTGCCAAGCTCTGGATCAGACAATCGAGCTCGAATGCCAACTTCAGCAAGTATTCGTATTGCTTGGAATGGAGCACAAGCCATTCCAAACGTGACAGTGAGCAATTTGTATGTTTCAATTTGGTTTGAGCCTGGTTTTTCCCATAAAATGCATTGAAACAAGGCGTGTTCTGGATTGATCCACACTTGCCGATACATTTTCTCAATGTCACCGCAAAAAGCATATTTAAAACGCCGCCACTGCATGAGCAAATCAAACAATTCTGGCTGAATTGTAGGCCCGACAAGCAGAAGGTCGTTTAAAGAACGTCCGTTCGTTGTTTTCGCTGATGCATCGGAAACAGTACGTACCTTCGTAGTACTACTGGAATCTTTTACAACTGGATGATGAGGCAGAAAGTAGCGTGGCACTTCATGATGTTCAACCTTTTTCATGTGACCAAGACTTAAATATTCATCAAGGTTTTGATCATATAATCGCTTAGCTTCAGGGTTTTTGCTAAATCGACGTTGCGATAAACGCAAACGACGTTCTGCTTGTTCACGTGATTCACCCAAAAACAACGAATTTGAGTCGACTTTAAATGGCAAATCAACGATAAATTTGCCATCGGAAGCACGTTTCAAACTACCAACAAACAAATCCTCAGCCGCTTGCTCATCTGGCGTGAGGTGTGTTTCGTGCTCAATCTCTTCCAATTCCCAAAAGGCTTTCAACAGTTGAGACAAATTATCGTCGGGTTCATTATCAACACGTTTTTGTTGCAGAGCATGACACAAAGTGGTAAAATCATTATCAACTTCGGCTCGACCGAACACAATCCAGCCCAGTTTGGTGTGTTGAGCAATTGGTTCGTCTGGACCACCTTTGATTATTTGACCCATCAAAATTTCAGCGTAGACTCCTGCGCCAAGCAACAAGTCAACTCTTCGTGTACGCGTGAAATTGGGGTTTGCCAATGGTAAATTGTTGAGATATGACCATTTGACTCGCTCATCACAATTCAAAGGTGAAATGTCGGCTACACGTTTGACAATTAATGCTGAAATATCTTTACTGTAATCTTCATTGTGGTATGAACCAATTGTGCTCATTGTACGACCAATAACACGCCCAACCGGAGCATTCCCAACACCTGTCATCGATATATTAGATCGAGTAAATGGCAACTGAAGCATTTGACACGCACGTTCAGAAATCAGATTAGTAGTCGCACCCTGATCGATCAAAGCGTTCAAGAGTATCGACCGCCCATTCCATCGTACAGGTACTAACGCCGTTGCTAAAATTGTAGCACTTTTCTCATTGGTGTGGTAAAAATGAGCCGAACTGGCAGCTGACAATGCGTCGAAGTCATCGTTTGGATCATAACGTTGTTCTTCCACGCTTTCTACCGTAGCTTCCTGAGTGACGAGAGCTTTGGCAGTGGTGTACGGATGTAACAACGTATGATGTGGTTCATTACATTTTTTGCAAGTGGCATTAAATGGGCATGAGTCAAAATGATGTGATTGCAAACAATTAAAGCACAACCCATGCTTTAGAATGGCTTCTCTACGTTCTTTAACTGACATACGTAACATTTCATCGCAACGAGTAGAGGTGTGATTACGTTGGCAGATGACACACTTGTAATCAGATTTGAGGGTGTAAAACATGCGTGGACCGCTTTTATCTTTCGGTTGATTAGAACGATGATATGCTGGTTTGTTGCGAGAATCAATGCCTTTACCAAATGCATCAGTTGTTTGCAAGATCGACATGCGAGTTGACAAAAAATCAAGATATGTTGTGAGCTCTGGAATTGTTCGTGAGCCAGACAAACTCTCCTCCCATGCAGTGACGGTGGCTGGATGTAACAGCTGTGATGTGTAGAAAATAAGGATGGAATCCCACGTTGTCACATCAATATCACAACCAATGAGAGTTGTAGTTACACTTCGAACTGTGTTCACAATTGAACGAAGAGTCGCAATGTTTTCTTTGTTCGGTTCATTTCGTGCAATAGCAAACAATCGACGTAAACTTTCATTGACGATTGCCCGAGCATTTTCGTATTCTTTTTTTAACAACATCATTGCTCTATTGAATGCTCCATCACTTGGCAACACATGTGCAATCAATTCTCGTGGTTCACCAACAAGAGCCTCTTTCAAACATTGCAATCGCTGAATTTCAGCCACTTGGTCAGTGAGCATTGTGCGAACAGTTGCTTTAAACTCCACCCAAGCAGTTCGATCGCCAGAAAATGTGGGCAATTTACATACTGGCAATTTTGCTGTTTTGTGGCCAGCGCTATCATTGTTCACAGTGATGTCGAGAAAGCTTGAATTTGCACCAGCAACGGGAGACATAAGTTTGCCCAATGCAATGCGAGCCTTCACAAATGCTGCATGTAGCGTTGCGTACTCATCGGTGATAGTTTTGAGCTCAGTGGCATCTTTTCCGGCAATTGCCTTTTCATGTTCGTCAAATGCATCGACGTAAGATGACCAATTTGTATCAAGCTGGCTGGAATACACAGCCAATGTTGACTGACAAGCTGAAGAAGTCAAAGTTGCAATTGTGTCAGTTGTCTTTTTTAATGTAGAGGCGTGACGTTCACGAGTAGCAGATGCTTTTGCTGCGGTAGCCATGTTTTCGGACGATCACAAAACAGAAACAAGCAAAGCCAATTTTGATTTTGATTTGATTGTGCAATTCTATATTTCTTTTTATTCGATTTTATTTATATGCTCTTCTTCTTCTTTATTAGTTTACAACACCGAGATCAACCAGTTTTTAAACAAAATCAATATGATTCAAAATAAAGCACATGCAATCTATTCTAATTGTGTCATGAAATGGTCAAGCAACTTGCGATCGCGCTTGATACGTTGACGACGATTGCGGTTCTTGCGACGAGTTTTTTCTAGTTTCTTTTGATGCAGAACCAACAATTGCGCATACGTTGGTTGCTGAGTTGATACCTGTGCCAATGGTGGTGGTTGAAACTGAGTTGCTGCTTGAGAAATTGGTGGTGGTGGTAACTGGCGCCGTGGAATTGTAAAATTGGCCAACGGTTTGGCTGGAACAATCGGCGTTGAAATCGTTGATGGAGGCGGTGGCCTTGGCTTGTACGATTTGAGTGCTGCCCTTTTCTTCACACCTTCAAATCGTTTTTCTTCTTCAGTGGGCACGTAACCGACTGTTCGTTTCTCTCTCGGCACACCTTTCACCTTCTTGACAACGTCGTTCAACCTTTTCGACGGCACACACGGCTTCTTGGTCGTTTTCAATGGCTTAGCCGGTAATTCCACACGTTTGCCTGAAGCTAATGTTCGGTAATTTGATGAATGCTTGCCACGAGCAGATGGCTTTCGAGTGAAGAGATCAACTTCGACTAGTGTTTGAGTTTTCGGTGGTATTTTAGTAGGCGGAGTCGGGAACAAATCACGGCCGACCGACGAACTGACCGGCTCGTTCGTTGCCAATGTTTTGCCTTCGTTTTCTCACCTCAAATATAGCTCATACTTACGTTCAATCGCTGACTTTGTTCTTCAATTTACTTCTCATTCAATTACAAATCAATTCATTTCGTTTCAACAATTTTTATTTAAAACTATAGCTTACGCTACTCGGGGCCCCTTCGCAATTAATGGATCGACGTGAATTCTCCGGTTGGTGACTGTCGTGGCTCTCCAATTGAAGCAATCCAATCGATTCTCCTCTCTCTTTGCTCCGGCGTCCGATGTACGTTTTCTTTGACTTTTCTTTGCATTCGCACGTAAATTGTCGGCTGGTCGTACGATCGATTTTGGTCTATCTCTTCACGTAATCGCTCTTCCAACTCCTTTGCGGTTTTTATTTTATGCACGAGGTGACTATTTTCATATGCTTTTTTATATACGACGTGCGCGGTTTGACTATATGCGCAGTTTTTTTCAAAGGAGCAGTGTATAAATTTGCATCCGCTGTCGTCGGTGTCCAAGAAGAGAAGCACCTTTTTCTGTTTGTCGTTTGACAGCTCAATTTGCTTTGCTTCTTTTATGTGTGTCGCCCTCTCTTGACTTCTTGCGTACATTATTAGCTCTGCTTTTTTCTCTTCATTTTACTTATTTCTAGTTTACATTCTTTTCGTTTATTATTCATTATGATTTTTTCTTTCCTTAAATTTAAATTTTCTTTTCTTAATTTTTATTTCTCCAAACCAAAACACCAAACAAGCACCGTTTGTTTCGTTGGTCACCTGTACGACTACCGATTTCAGCGATGGTAATGGTCCGTCGATGTCAGACAAATAATTGTCGTCCAATCCAATCTCAATCTCGTCGGTTGCCACCTCGGTTGGCAACTTCGCTTTGCTACCAAATTTATGTGGGGAATTTACTAAAGCCGAGGAAAAATAGAAGAGATTGGTTGACAAAAAAAATGTTTATTTTACAATTCTGCTCTCTTTTCAATTCTATCTTTTTTATATACAGTATATTTCCATATATACAAATAACGTCACAATAAACAAAATATATACAATATTCAATAGCTCATTCAGTACTTAAATATGCGTGTATGTGTGCATGCGTGTGTGAATATGTGTGGATATGAGTGGAAGCGGATACGAAGATACGTGAATGTTATACGATACAAAAATGCTTTGATTCTATTGCCGGTTGAATGACATAGATGGTGCGAGTACGCGGCCCATCTGCGGACACATTCAAACCCCTTGACGTTTACCAGCACCACTTTTGATACACGAACAGACTATGACCGTCTTTGGTATGTATAGACTTGAGACTCGCTATACACTCTGGCGCATACCAATAGCGTTCTATGCCACTCAGTGTCAAACGCAATTGACAGACAATTACAATCGTGAGTTCTACCACCACGAAGGTAGTCAAACCGACAATCAAATCGTTCCGTTGTATCGCATGTAACCCCAAGTAGTATTCAAATGAACCGCCAATTTTCAAGCAATATTTAACCGTCGTAGTTCAAAGAACAACAATAGTAGAACTCGCTTTTAAAACCAGCACAAATGGCAGGCAAACGAAAAACCGCCGATTTCAAACAATTTTCTGACCGTCACAGTACTGAGACCGTAATAGTGTAAAAATTGATTAACAAAACCAGTAGTTTGCACACTAAAAATGCTATGCTTCTAAACAAGTACACTGAATGTGAACAAGTACATGCTTTTATGTTGTCATTCCACAGTCTCTTATTAGATACGGTCGTACGTTGCATGAGCGATTTATAAGAACGGCAAAATGAAATAAATTCACTACAAAATGTAAACAAAATTTGCTGTGCAAAAATAGCATGGAATTGTATACACGAATGGCTCAGTACTGAGCTACACAAATGAGAAGAGCGAAAAGCAACAACAACCACGTACACACAGACTCCGTTCCAGTGGCGAGAGAACACAGTCGAAAGCAAACAACAACAAAATACACGGGCTGCATAGGCCACGTGCTCCACTCAATTCATTCACGCATGAATTTACGTTGATTTACGCATGTAGTAAATACTGTCA